ATTGCTCTTTTGCGCTTGACTCGCGAACTGCATTCTTTCTTATATTTTTTCTTTTTTATCCTTGGGTTTAAAAACTTTATGTAGCCTGTTCAAGAGTCAGATCTTCTCGCACCCTATTTATCCATGCCCCAGGTGGACGTACTTCCAATGTCGTCTATCAAGAGGCTCTTCGGTAGATAAAACTAATTTTTTCACAGATGTGTGATACACTACAAACACACAAGTACAACTCATCACAATTTGACATTTTCCGTTTTTTCTAAGTGACGCAGTTAACATATGGTCCACAGTATCTTTTGTTAACTTATATTTAATTGCTATAATAATATACAATAAAAAATGTAAAATGTAATGTAAATAATGTACAAGTAATTTGTCTGTTAATTGTTAAATTAATGTATTATTTATACAAACAACCCGTACGAAGGACGGGTACACAGCTAGTTTGTCAATAAAAATAGAAATTAAAAACGATAACGTTTCCATTTTATAGGTAGCGCTGTGGTATTTATAAGGAATGAGTGGCGAGTCAAACCGAAGAGAAAATGATATTTAATTATTGATGTGATTCACAAGTTTTTATACATGTAAACTGAGTAAAACTGAAAACTTAAAAAAATGCAACCTAACTCGTTGTTAGAGAAACTTCGACAGTTTGACGCGTATCCGAAAACTTTAGAAGATTTTCGAGTGAAAACATTCAGTGGGGCTACAAGTAAGTATGATTGGCGACTCGAGTGAGACTGCAGTTGAATCAAATGTACAGTTGTGAGTTGGAAGTAAATTAAATATTTAATATTAACTTTTAGCGTTGTTCTTATAAGCAGCAGATAAAGTGAATAATACTAATAGGGCAACTATTGTTAAGACTTCGCGTTTATATATGTGATTGTATTTCAAATTCAAGTGAATATTGACTACATTTCAATTTTGTGTACTTAAAGTTAATATAAGACTTGAAAGTTAAATGTGGGTATATAAAGAATTATAATATAGAATGACATAAAATCCCTGGTTAGAGACACTGGTATCCTACACATTGTAATTACAATATCTTGAGGTACAAGTGATGTACTGGAAACATAGTAATTATATTAAGAATTTTTTTTTACATTATCTTTAAGAAACAAGTTAGTTTTAAATACTTTTTATATGTTTAAAAGTACATTATAATAAATATAATATTGGTGCTCATCTTTTTTATTTGATAAGTGAAATTTACTAGTGTTTTTTGTGATCTTGTTATCTAACTTATTTAAAGAATTTTATTCCATATGTAGTTAATCATCTATTTTAATATTTTATTTTATTTTTGCATCTTGCAGTTACAGTCATTAGTGGAATAATAATGGCAACATTATTCCTATCAGAACTGAATTATTACTTGACTCCGGAAATGACTGAAGAGCTGTTTGTGGATGTATCACGTGGGGAAAAGCTTCGAATCAACATAGATGTTGTATTTCCTAGAATATCTTGTAGTTGTAAGTAATATACAAATGTATTTAGCCAAACAAATTACAGGCATTTAACTAAACATGTTTCATTTTTTTTAAAGAAAACAGTAACATAAGTTGTTTTCAGTACTTAACTTATCATAAAACTAAAAGCAAATGTCTGAAAGAGAACCATTAAAAGTCTATATGTAAGGGTATCTTAAGTACTTGATTTAGTAATCAACATTGCAAAACATTTTTTTGGGTTAAACAGGTGTAATCTACTATCTTGTCAAACTTTAAAAACTTAACAATATATTTTTCTATAGAAAACATTAGAGGAAAGAGGATCTGGACATTTTGTTACGAACATTTAGTTGCTGCCACATTGTTACTATGACAACTTGTGATGGGTGTATTCTTGTTACATCATTTTTGTGACATGGGAGTTTTTGTTACAAATACTGATTTTGTGATGGGTAGTTTTTTAATATAAAATTGATTGGTGACAGTAATAAAAAATGATAATAGATCATAGATTGTACAATCATTTAATGCTATGGGGTGAGAGGGTGTTTAAGCCTGTATTTCAATGTGTCATAGGAGGTGATTTGAATACTTTTGATTCCACTCTGCAAGAGAGGGGGAGGTGGTATAGTTATAGGAGGGTCAATATGTTTTACTGAAAACTTTTGCTCATAAATACTAATCCAGACAGTCATATCAGATGGTTTTTCTCATGTCTTGTGGCAAGATATTCCATCCAACAAATATTGAAGAATGAGTAGAGACCACTTGTTCACACTAATTGCATTTCCCCCCACCTTTATTTCCAGTTGAATAACATTTGATTCATGATGAACCTGTACTTTTCCTTCTAATTTTGATTGGTCAGAATTGGAATTCTTAGGTACATAAATTATATCCAATATTGTGTATTGGAAACTACCAACACTATGATGTTCGAAATAACTACCTTTGGCTTCTACGAAAATAGAACAGCTAAATCTTACTTGTTGCTAGGTGACAATGCAAAAAAAACAAAAAAACACACCAAACAATTTAGTACTACTGAATTACCTTGTGTTATATACCATAACATAAAACAAATAAAAACCAAAAGTTTCTACCAATCTTTTTCATTTTTCTACTTAATGAAAGCCCTGTGAGAACTATTCATTTCAAGCCTTGTAATAATAACTTGCTTTTCCTTCTAATTTAAGTTGTAAAACTGAGTAATGGTTAACAATTTGTGTGGTACATATGTTTCAGTTTTTCAGATTCTTCAACTCAATCATACATCTTAGTTTTAATACTAAGAGTGTAACTTTCTGATGCTTATTAGGCAATATCTCTACATAAGAAAAAGTGTATAATTTAACTGTATCAGATAATGATCTTTTTTTGTAATTTGGAAAGTATGTTGCAAATATTTCCACAAATAAATAAAACAAAGGTGTAGCATGGTAACTTAAGATATATATAGATGTGAATTGAGTTATAGAATATGTTTTGTTTTAGTTTGATAATGAATTACTCAAATTTCATTCTGCAAGTTTACATAACAAAAGTTTTGATTCACTAGTTAGTTAAAAAACACATTATTTAAGAAGTGGTGCAAGTAATGACAGCAATACACAGTGTGAAATATTGAGGCGTTTTGGCAAATATATATGATGATTTTGTGAACTAGGAATTAACCTGAACTGTTTTATTTCTAGATCTTAGTATTGATGCAATGGATGTATCGGGAGCCCAACAGATAAACGTTGAACATAATGTTTATAAAAGACGTCTTGATCTTGAAGGAAAACCAATAGAGAAACCAGAAAGAGAAAAGAGTAAGTAGTAATGGTTAATTTATTATTTGGCTGCATTGACTACTAAGAATTAATTGAAGTTAATGTTTTAATCAACATTAAACTTGTTTGATCCCACCTAGCCTATTTAATATCTTTACGTGTAATATGTAGCTCATTATTAACATTAAACCTTTCTACTGAAATTTAATTATTTCTATAGTTTATTTGTAAGTCAAATAAATTTAAATGTTGTGATGAGGAAACAATATATAAAAGTTTAATGTTTTTAAGATAAATCTGCCATTTTAGTTACAAACATCTGTATTTTCAGAACTAGGGGATGCATCTGAGGAGTTTACTAAGGTGAGAATGTTCTTTTAATGTAACATAGCAAATAGAATGCTGTTCAGTTCATCAAGTTCTTGTAGATACAGCTCATGTGTTCCAATAAAATTAAAACTCTTCTCACTATAAACATGTTCAACAAAATATTGAAAGAATCAAAAGTCTCATGAAAAAGTATCTAATTAATAGCTTCAAAAAATTAATAATTTATGAAAAGAGAGAATTTGTTCTGAAGATATATTTATAACTTTCTAGTATTTATTTTAATAGATATAAATAAATTAATAAATAATAGATTCTCTACTGGAACTTCATTAGTTCAGAACTTAAGAAAATCAACTTAAAATTTAATTTTTTTTTCACAAATTTAATGATAGTGTTGCCTGTCTCCGTTCTCATAAACGTATGTTAGGTTCAGTGTTTTTTGTTAAAGAAACATTGTTGAAAATGACTTAAATTTATAGTAGTTTACATTTCAAAGATTCTTTTCCTATTATTTAATATTCAGACAGTTTTAAAGGTTTCTTTTTGTGGATAATAATGTTTGGATGCTTTTTATTTTTAGAATTTTATGCATAATTACAGAATGACTTGTACTTTTAGGCTATCAAGCCAACTCTGGATCCCAATAGATGTGAAAGTTGTTATGGAGCAGAGTATAGAAATATGAAGTAAGTTTGTGAATACAATGTTCTTTTTAAAACTGTTTGATTTGTTTTTAAAAGAGGGAACTTGATAGTTCTGAAGTTTGTGACAGTCTGGTTTGACGTTTCTGTAAGTTGGTCATGTTATTTTTTTTCATTTTGCAGAATGACATATCTGTATAATTATTTTTACCTTCATGATTCATTTACCTGGCTAGATAAGGCAAACAAATTATCTGTTCATGGGACATGATGTTCTCATTATAAAATAAATTCCTGATGTTTAACTGAATTATATGATTCAAAGCATTTTAAAATAAAACAATATTTCATTATTATGGCACTCTCTATATTGTATTTAATAATATGTATAAACATTGTAATTTTGTTAAATTAATAATCCTCTAATTATTTTAAAGTATACTATGTATTAATGATGGAGAAAACAGTGTCTAATAATAAAGATGAAAGCATTTAAATATTTGAGTAAACAAGTGAACAGTGTCTAATAATAAAGATGAAGGC